TAAGTCCATTTATACTTAAATTGAGATATTTAAGAGTTCGCGTTTCAATAAAATTAAAAATATACGTATAGGATACCAATGTGTCATACTGCTTAAGTGTATCTAAAAGAGTTAAATTTACAATTTCTATTAAAATAATAATAATTATTAAGTGAATAATATGTGTTTTCTTACCAAAAATGGAGTTAAGCCACTTTCAAAGTTAACAACCAGATTCGTTATAAAATTTGAAAGAGCCCAAATCCATTCGACATAATTTAAAATGCTTCAAATTGAAAAAACAATACTCAATTTATTTTATATTTCTTTACAACACTTCAAAAACACAATTTATGCAATTCAGGAAATTTTCTAACTACATAAATTACATAACAATTTACTGCTCATCTACATTTTGTGTATGCGAGAGGGATTTGAAGGGATTCGAAAAGACTGACAAAGCTTTTTAGAAATAATTTGACAGATATTGCTTATTCTTGCACTAATAAATTATCAGAATTAATTCGTGTGCATAAAGACAGGTTGCCTCTTGGTTTCCATAATAACGTTGTATATAGGTTGCAATGCAGTGGCTGTGATGCTTCTTACGTTGGTCATACTAGTAGAAGACTCTCTACACGTATTGGCGAGCATAGGAGAATTCCTAAGAGTTCTATGGTGGAGTTAACGGCCATACAGGAACATCGTTTGAGGAAGAACCATGATTTTGATTGGGATCATGTCAAAGTTTTACATGAGGAAGCTTTTACTTAAAACGCCTGATCTCAGAAATGATTTTTATCAAATTTCAGAAGCGAGGTCTTAACTCACAAAAAGATACTGAATATTTGGGCACTAGCTACTGCGGCTTGTTATGAAAATAAACTTTGTTTTGGTTTCTTTTTCACAAGTCGTTTCCGCAATGTTAATGTTAGGTATATAAATCTGTAATTATTTGTATTTCGAAGACGTGGCGATGTTATCGATGACAGGATCGGTTTACTTTTAACTGAACTGAACAAAGGTATTTTATATTGTCAGTTTTAATTATTTATTATATTTCAATTTTACTTATTTTTATTTTATTTTATGTTTTTTATAGTTATGACGGCTACTTCTCAATATTAATTTATTACTTAATATTATTTCGGTAACGGTCTTGTCGGCTTTAATATTAAAATTACCTTCATCGCTGTCTTCGGACATTTGTAAATCCGCACTTTCGGACATTACCAATAATGGATTGGACTTAGGCCACTTTCAAAATAATGGTTTCAATTATTGAACTAACTGCAAAAACTTATGTGTCCAAAATTATCGTGTATACTCTGAATATACTTAACCGCAAATGTTATTTATGACAGCTAACTTCAAGTTGTACACGTTACTACGGTCAACAAAAAATAATTGACAAGTGGACTTAGGCCACTTTCAAAATAAACGGCTCAAATTTCCTACAAAATTCGCAAGATCGCTAATTGCTTGCCCGCACAAGTGGATATGCGTCGCGCAGCATACACGTACATGCATATACATTCGTATAACACGGCGTGTAACCGCGAAGAAATCCCGAAGCGAAAGTGAGAACGGCGTCTTCGCCGTCCGTCACACGCATCCAGCTTGTAGTGGCGTTCTGGTGCACCGACTCCTCGCGCAGCACTGTCAGTGAAAATCGCACTGATGCGATAGCCTGCGGAATGGAACGCGAGGGAAATGAGGAAAGTCGGGCACCGATGAAAGTGAGAGGATGCCGGCTACAGGGTGTCTCAGGCCGGCTTATTCCGCAGTCGACCGCGAGAGAAAGGGGTTCGCCTGTAATGGAGGCGAGAAGGAGGCGGTCGGGTCCGGTCGCGCGATCGATGGAAAACGAAAAAGGTGCAGGACGAGCCACGAAGGCGACTGACGGATCGCCAGGAATTTCGGAGCTCGTTTGCATCCTCAAGTCTTGACACACACACACATACACAAGGTGAAATGGCTGAGAATCACGGCAAAAAAACATCGGTATGACCTCGGGAAACGCGAACAAGCACACTTTGTATTTCGCATTCGCGAATTCTCACGAATTAAAACGAGAGGATGGGATTCTAGCGTCGTTTAATCTTCTAACCGTGTCCGGGGCTTCGACTCAAGCGTCTTGAAAACATTCCAAATGCGGTCAACATCACTTTTCTCGTGGCACTCGCACATTCTTGCATATCGTAATAGATAAATTATTCATTAAAATGCGTCGAAATAATAGATACATTATTCATTGAGATGTGTCAACATGTTGAAAATTAAAAGTCACCAAATTTCACCCTTGTGTGTGTGTGCACTATGTCCATTCACCAGGAAAATTCTCCGACTCCGCCTCGGATCTAGCATCGCGTTTGCACAGAAAGATCCTCGGATCGTGGATAGCAAATCGATTCGCCATGCGATGACGAACGGCTGATCGAATGGGAGCGTAGCTTTCACGTTCGCTCTCTCTCTTTCTCGCGCGCGCTTCTTTTCCTTCCTCTCACTCTTTTCTTTCATATCCAAGACGTAGTACACTTATTCGCCGAGCCGGAGTCCGGAGATTTCGTAACGTGATTGTCCCGAATACGTTACATTATAACGCACGAACTAATTCCATACAATACAATCTAGTCGACGCGCAAACAGCCGCGCGTGTCGTAAAACATTACATTTTATACCGCGCAAGCTCACACCGCGATCTGACGTTGCGAATTGCTACGCTTTTTGTCTGTCGCCATTGTTATTCATTCGATATTTTGCAAATAAATAATACGAGATTGAGAAGAACGGGGGAGGGAGAGACGAGGAGGAGAAGAAGAAGCAGGCGACCGGTTCTCGTAAACATTCTCTCGCGGCAAGCCTGAGCCTGATGATGAAGCAATCGCGCGTGTGCGCACCTCTGCCGGATGCGAGCCTCGGAATTCCCGTCGTCCGCGAAACAAAGCGAGATTTTCGGGAAGCCGGGTGCGGAGGATCCGCGCGTGACTGCAGTTATAAATAATGCGGCGAGACGCATAAGCTGAGAATTTTCAACCCGTCGTTGCGCTTTTTCGCGATCTTGCCGCGCGCAACACTCGTTTGATAGTGTGAAATCTTCCTTGTGAGGCAGTCGAGCAAAATTTACGAATTTTTCTATTGAAAAAATTTTTAAGAAGACGAGGATGAATGTGAAAAAGGAGCAAATTTTCATGCGAAAGAATATTGGGTTGTATGATAAATAATTTCGAATTTTTCAAGTAAAATGAACCGATTTTATAAATAAGAGTTTTATTGCGAAAGTCTTCAAAGAAAATGAGGGATGAATGTGAGAAAGAGAAAAATTCCTACGCGAAAGAATATTGGGTTGTATAATAAATAATTTTGGATTTTTCAAATAAAATAAACTCATTATATATCATATTTTCTTTCTTTATTTGTATCTTTGTAATAGGCATTTCTTGTAAACAAATAAGAGTCCTACCGAAAAAGTACTTCAAAGAGACGAGGATGAATGTAAAAAGGAGCAAATTCTTACACGAAAGAATGTCGAATTGTATGATAAATAATTTTGGATACATATTTTCTCAAATTAAACGAACCGATTGTTTTCCCATATCATTATATTTTACTTCTTTATCTTCGTTTACAATGAATATTTACCATGAGTAAAGAAATTAAAATATTTTCATGACAATTTCTTTTTGTCTGCTTGTAGATTGACCGTCCGAATGTGAGCCTCGCGGGTGGCCAGCGAATTCCTCCTACGAGGAGGTATCCAGGCTAGTGGAATTCGCGAGGGCGCGAAGGGCGGAAACAGGAAGAAGGTGGGCGAGCAACAAGAAGCGGCAGAACATTGTGTCGCGAGCCTCGAATCAAGTTGAAGTCGCAGAAATCGGCATAATGGCGGGCGAGGATACGCAGATCTTGTCGAATGGTAACGTCGAGGCGCTCACGATCATTCCGCCAAAAATGGCGAACGGAAACGGGCTGATCTGCGGCAAGCAGCACAACAACAATGGCTCCATACCGAACGGGAACCTTCACGGGATCGGCGGCACGGAGAACGGCAAGCTGATCGTGCCGGATGAGAAGTCGAGCAGTCTGCACACGGAGTTCGACGACGCCGACGTGTCCTGCGGATGGGGCCCGTGCAGGCCCCACTGGCTGCAGTACTTCGCCACGAAACAGGCCTTCCTGGTGACCTTCTGCATCACCTGGGTAAGCATGCCGACGTACTTGAAGCCCCCGTAGCTGCATCGCGCACTAAATCGCGCACTAATTCACGTACTCTTTCAGTTTCTTGAAGTAAAATTTCCCTCAAAAGATAAAGTGACTATTGGGTCACTCGAATTTGTGTGATTTTTAATCGACTTTAATAAAACTTTGATCGACAAAACAATTGAAAAATACGAAATGAGAAACTGAAAAAATAGCAAAAGCGACAGGAATTACGCGACAACCTCATTATCTCACGAGCCATTTTACGGACTGAATAGCAAAACGAGGAAGCAAGTAAGATAAAAATTGTCGTCAGAATAAGAACGATAAGACAACGATAAAAAATGAAGGATAACACCGGGAAGTCAGTCGCGATCTACTTATTCGCGGAAGTATATGGCTCGCGCGTTTCATTGATCCTTTCAAGTCCCACTCAGGCTACTGTTCACTCTTGAATCGCTCTTGCTCGACCCTTGCCCTCCGACGGATCCTCGACCGCACGTTGCTGACATTCTTGGGCGTTTTCGTTGCGCAGGTGCTTCAGGGCATGTACTACACGTACTTCGTGTCCGTCATCACGACAATAGAGAAGCTCTTCCAAATCCAGTCGAAGACGACGGGTATCATCATGTCGGCCACGGAGATCGGCCAGATCGGGTCCTCCCTGTTGCTGACGTACTACGGCGGCCAAGGTCACCGGCCCAAATGGATAGCCTGGGGCATGATCCTCTTCGCCGTGAGCTCGTTCACCTGCTCGATACCCCATTTTATTTTCGGCGATCAGCTGATTCACCAGAACGAAATGCTGTTCAGCGGCGTCGGGCCTGGCGGTGAAGGCGGCGGACCCAACAATACCGACCCGATACCGGCGAACCTCTGCAAGTTCCAGGAAAGGTTGGAGAACAGCACGTTGGACGGGTGAGTTCGACTGTTACTCTGACTTCTCCGGATTATCCTCCTCGGTTCCTCGATCCTCGATTAAGTCCGACCTCGCGACCGAATTCGTGAAGCGCGGCGACTCGTCATAACGCAAAAAAAGAGAGAGAAAAAAAGAGAGAGAGAAATAAACACCTTGGTCTGGCCTTTGCCCTCGCGCGATTAAATAGCAGCTAACCCGACTCGACAACAGTGAATCATCGAGACAAGAAATCGCGGTTACCTGCCAACGAACGCGCGCGGAATTAAGTCTCGCGATGATTATTCGCAGTCGTCGAGTCGGTCGATTAAGTCATTTGAATTATTATTAAATTTAACAAACACGACATCACACTGAATATTTCTCTCGTTGAGATCGACCTGAAGGTCGGCCACGCGCGTTAATGTCTCGCGCGAAACAGCTAAACGACAAAGTGCCGTTTCTCTCACGGTAGTAATTATAAACGAGCTACATTTTTCAGAAAGGAAAAGGGAAACTCTGTTTCTTCCCTTTCTTCCGTCGCAATTCCACCGATCGTCCGTTACATAACGCGAGAGCGTTGTTGATCGCCGAGCACAATGAGATTCCGCGACGGCGCGGTGGAATGCTGGAACTGACCCGCGCAATTTAACGCGGCAATAAAATGGAGCAATGTCGATTACGTTTTCTTGGTATCGTGCGCGCGCGCACGTTGTTGCGTCGTGTGCGTTACGCGTTATTACGCGGTGTGCGTGCAGTTGCGCTTATCGTTGCACTCGCATTCGCGCGAGAAACGAGGCGCGTGCAGTTCGGCTCGGCCACCACGTGGGTGTCGGTTTCCTGATTCAGTTTCCGGAAGCGGTTGATTATAGCCCCGAGCGGAGCTGGACAATAGCTATCGGGCGAATTTGGGAGACACGAGCTGACGTGGAATATCTGCCCGGCATGCGAGTCGATTCGCATGTATAATTAATCGCACTCGCCGTTCGATACGTTCGACGCAACGCCGTGACTCGCGAACGACATGCAAATGATCGCGGGAATCCGAATGTTACCCCGAAATTGTGTGGCGAAATTGTCGCGTTCGTGCGCGAGCTTGTCGGAGTGGCAGCGCCTCCGAATACTCTCCTTCTACATTTCTCAGACTGGAATTTCACAAGTGGAAGTCCGCTCAAAGTGATAGTGAAACTACCGCGACTCGAGCCGTAAAAAATTGTCACGAGCTTGTTAAAGCAACGCGACGGCAATACGTTAAATTCATACACTCGTGTATCGGAAATTTGACACACATTTCTACACCGATTGATTTCAGTACAAATACAAAATGTTTTTTGCCATGTAAAAAAAAATCTGGAGTCAATGTTATTTATTTTATTCGTAAAAATTATTAATTCTCCGACGCTGAATAATTCGGTTTTCTGTTTTGTTTGCCAAACACGATAAATATTCTGCATTCTTCAATGAGTCGAATTAACAAATAAATATGGCTGCATCTTAAATACTGCTACCTTAAATTACTGCTAATAAAGGAAATTTATTTACCCGTGAATTGAGATATATAATAATAATGAAATAAAATTCACGGCTGCGAATACACTGGTTCTTTTCGCCAAGTCGTTGCCACGTGAACGAATAATCGTAATTTCTGTATTTGCGTTGGAATCGATCCGTGTAGAGATGTTTGTGTTAAATTCCTCTCACACATCCGCGTGCTAATTCATCGTCGTGTTATTCGGACTATTCTACGTTGAGTTCATAAAAAATTCCCATAATCTCCATGTATTGAAAGAAGCTCGCAAGTGTTACATGTTCGCGTGAATTCTCGACATAATATTCCTTTGTATATCTGCCTTGTAAAACGAAAACAAAGGTCAGAGTGGATAAATTGGAACAGATCGAATCCCGTCGTTTCGTCTCGCGGTAATTTTAAATTCCCCGACTTTCCCCCCGGCGCCGACATAATCTCTATAATAGGTGTGATATCCGTGATATGCATAATATCTCCCTAACGCTCGCTTTAGATCCATATAAAGCGAGTTTACCTCACAAGAGGCCCGTGGAGGGTTAAGTAACGTTCGCGTTAATGGCCGCGAATGTTTCGACTGTCCCGGCGCGAAGTAAACTCGCCTTTGGCGAACTGATGGCTCCACGACCGACTCGATTTGTATCCTCCTGATCTTTCTATTCTTGCGAAGGTGGATTCCGGGGACGATCGCGCCGCAAACCGACTCAACGGAGTACTGCGAGGGCGATTTCCTCACGGAGCAGAGGATACAGGGCAAGATCACCACAGTGGTGCTCGCGATATTTTTCGTGTCGCTGCTCGGCGTAGGGATGGGACAAACGGCGGTGTACACCCTCGGTATACCGTACATCGATGATAACGTAGCCAGCAGAGAGAGTCCCTTGTATTTTGGTAAGTTTTCTCTCATCCCCGTCTGTAGATCGCTGCCCTTGTCCTTGTGCTTTGTTTGCTCTCCCTTATTTTTATCATCGCAGAAGATATCTATATATCTATATACTTTGTAAATATCTCAGTTTTCTTTTTACCAATTTGAATTTGATTCGTTTGAACGTTTTTTATACTTACTTATTTTTCTGCTTACTCATTTGAATTTATATAATTTTAACGTTTATGGCTATTAAATATCGGCCAATTAAATTGAGAATATTTTATTTTATGTAGTATTTAAAGGATTCCAAGGAATTTTTGAAATGTTGAGGCTTGAGATGTATTTTATTATTATCGCCCAAATTTAAATCACTTGAACATTTATTGTTTTCTGCTCACTAATTGAGTTTATAACATTTGAACGTTCATGGATATTAAATATCGACTAATTAAGAGTATTATATATCATTTAATATTTATGGAATTCTCCAAAGGATCCTTATTTTTCAGATGTGTGTATTGAGGTTCGTGTGTACTTTATTATTGTCGGCCAAATTTGTATTATTTGAACGTTCACGGCTGTCAAAACCGTCTGATTAAATTAAGAATATTACATTTTACATGTAGTACTTAAGGAATTCCAAGGAATCCTCATTTTTGGGATGTTGAGGCTTGTAGTGTATTTTATTGTTATTATTGTTCGAAAAAACGAATCGTCGTTTTTGAGGACGCAAATTGTAGAATCCGATAATTTGATTTTTGCGACAGCGATCACTATCGGAGTGCGGATTCTTGGTCCGGCGCTGGGATTCATCCTGGGTTCTGTGTGTACCATGCTGTACGCGAACTTGTCCGTGAATCCGCAGATCACGCCGACAGATCCTCGATGGGTCGGCGCTTGGTGGCTCGGTAAGCAAGTTTGAACATATAACGTGATTCATTGAAGATAATAGTGTCCAACATGGCGAGGACTAAGAAAGGCCCTCCTTCCTTCCGTCAAAATCCGCAACCGTTACGCTCCTTAACGTAGACTTTTTTAGTTAATTAGGAAGGAATCGATTCGACAACAGCGATAATAATGTCTCTCTCTCTTTCTTTTCTTCTTCTTCTCTCGGGTCGATTATTTCGTAAAAAAGTACACCGACCGCTTCGGCCGCAGACCGTGGAACCGAGTATAATCAACTTATCAGGAATTTTAATAAACCGCCGAACCTTGCGGAGTTGAAGTAAAGTCCAGAGAAGAAGAAGAGAGAAAAAAACGAGCAAAGGAAAAAAGAGCCACAGGCTGAAAGTCGCTCGACCTTCGTCGTTCGAGTGCGCATTTAGCCACTGTGCGCATATAGACAAATCTATTCGCGTTTGCGGCGCGCGAGAGGGCGTACGCGCTATTAGCGGTCTTTCGGCTGGTTCCTCGCGCTTCTTGCCGCACCGAGAGAGACAGTCTCGGCGACATAAAAATAAAATCTCAGGCGTGACAACCGCGACCGTGTGTAAGCCCGTCTCAGACACGAAAATACACCCCCTCCTCCCTCCCACCGTTACTTCCGCCGCGAGGAGAGTCTCTCTCAAGCGTTTCCGTTCGTTTGCGTTCTTGTTCGCTGCGGCTCGATAAAAATGCTGGAAACGCGCGTAAAAGTTTATAATAATAATGAAACAAAAATTTTATAAAAATTATATATTTTTTCAATTGTTTATTATTGTGGAATAATTATTATTATATTATAATTATAATTTTATAAAAACTTTATAATAATAACACGCGTATATATGAAAGGATATAATAATAATAACATAAAGGGGGATAACTATTTTTATTATTTTATTTTTTATTTTCATTATAACGTGTCAGTCTCCTTTTTTATTGAAATCGATAAAAAAATTAATAAATCAATCAATTATTTAATTACTTATCTCTCTCTTCCCCATAATAATCGAATGTTGTCACACCCACACACACACATACATACATACAAATTAGATACACAATCAAATTAAAGAGAAACATTCAAGACAGTTACATTAGACAAGAGTGCATTCAAAACAATCAAATCAAGCAAGCGTACAGTTATCCGCGAAAAGGAAGGAAGGAAGCAAGACACTTGTCGGCGCGGCGCCATTTTTCCCGATATTCCCGGAGAAGACCTCTTTTCCAATCTCTCGCTCTCGCTTGTTCCAGGTCTGGTGCTAATATCGGCGATGCTGATGCTGGTCAGTATAGGAATGTTCGCTTTCCCGACGCGGTTGCCCAAGAGCAGAACACCGCCGAGACGAGCGGACGCTCCAAAGCCTAGTCTCCGAGGTAAGTCCTGATTTATCCTTCGGGTACCGATCGCGCGCGCTCGTCACAGACCGGCACAGCCGACGCGGTGTTTCGTAGTAGTCGCCGCTCTCTCGGCATCGGATCGCGCCGACTTAATCTGTTTTTATGGCTCGCCGTAAGCTGCTTTGTGGCAGCCACGTCTCTCTTTCCCTCCTCTCCTCTCTTTCTTTCTCTCTCTCTCTCTCTCTCTCTCGCTCTTTCCCTATCTTTATCTCGCGCTTCCCCGAGCGAATCCTCTCCGAGGACTCGTCTCTTCGCGAGGAGTAAAAAGGACACGGCCGCCGCCGCCGCCACCGCGGTGTGATATCGGTTTATTCTCGTCCCGCGGTTCCGCCGCCGCCGTCGTAACGCGCGCGTAAATTTAGCCGGCGCGGCCGCGAACTTTCTTTCTGCGATTCGCGACGCGCGTTCACCGCGCGATTATGATATCCCGCGCTCGGTGACACTCGGCCCGATACACTCGCGCGGCAATTTACGAGAGGGATAAACGCGCGCGCCGATAACGCGCTGTGTCGTCGGGCGCGCCGAGGACGCGCCGATAAATCGCGCGGGAATCAAGAGACGCAATAACGGGGCCCGATCTCGCGCAAGACGACGGTTATTGCGATCGCGCGCGATCGTCGGCCCCGCAAACGGCCACGATAACGGCAAGTGTTCTCTCGCGCTTTCGGCGGCGAGACCGCGCGAGAGACGCCGAAAGGCGAGGACTTCGCGCGGCCACTTGCCGCGGCGTCGAAGGCTAACGAGAATGCAAATAGAAGCCGGAGACAATGTGCTCTTCGTAAGTTAATCGGGAGCTCGCGACGAGCGATTTCGCCTACGGCCCGGATAATGCGCGTCCTCTTATACGCATATTTATGTTTTGCGCATCAAGGCGACGGGACAGCGCCGGCCCTAGGAAACGCCGGTGCCCCGCGACGGACTTCCCCCGCGCCTCTTCGGGCCGCCTCGCGTCGTTCGTTCCTGTCACTTCGCACTAACTCGCAAGTTCCTCCACTCTGCACTCTCGACTTGGTACAAACTCGCGATGGTTACTAAGAAAGCGAACCGTCCTCGAAAATCTCGAAAGCCCTAAAATAATCAAGTAATTTTGAGTCAGTATTCCTGCACGGAGAGAATTTTGTAAATATTACTGAAGGATATTTCGCGATCGAGGAGTAGATTCGACATTCTGCAGTAATCCATTATCCTTTCATTTCATACACGGGGAAAAAACGTGATTGGATTAACCAAATTTCTAGCGAAATATGAAGCAGAAATTCTCGTAACTCAGCTAGAATTTTCTAGTTCATTCATGTTTCTCGCTAGAAATTTAATTAATCCAGCCAAACGTCTTTCCCGTGTACGTGCTATTTATATGTAATATTATAACAAAATTGTATCGTACTTATGGAATATTTCAATTTGTAAACAAATATTATGACGAAAGTAGGTCGCTGTTATAAAATGAAATACAACATTTATAACGAAAGGCTTATATTTGACAGTTTAAGGAATATTGTTTACTCCGATTATTTACAGAACGATATTTTTTTTCCTTTTAGATACTCTTCATCTGACTGCAACAAATTAAATGATTCATTATCATCATAATTTTACATTGCCTTGCGCTTGCATTGCCTACGGTTGTCTAACGATGGGGATGAATCGCACAGACGCGTCGATATCTCGCGGCGTCCCCGATATCGGTTCCGTCGGCCGGTCGCGCGGCCACGCATAATATATTCGGCAGGCTCTATCATCGGTATGCGCATAAAAGAAGGAATAAACCGATCGGATGATCTTTCAAGTATAAGCCCCCGCGCTCCAAGGTCAATGGCGAATTTTGGTGGCGCGTTTCGGCCACAGACTTCTACATATTGCTAGGCTGCTGAATTTCCCTATATTTCGCTCATGTCAAATGTCCACGAAAAGTGTGTACTAAGGGCCACTTTTATCAAGCTTTGATTAAACTAACTTTGCAGGATTCCAACTAAAGCTGCTGTTGCATGTAAAGCCATCTTTTCTGCACGTGCGCTTTGACGACGTGTGTTTGCATGTATTTAAAAAGTGACTAAGTTACATTATTTATAGATTTTCATCTTCTCTCATAACGACGTTGTGCATGAAAACAGCATATTTCACTGACCCTATTGCGAACACTATATGCACAGAGAGAACGATTTATTGAATAAATGTTTCTTTGAAATAGTCCAAACCAATTATTTGGTTGGCACAACAAAAATATTTCTTTGGAACTAAGCCGCAAATAAATATTTTTGTTGCGTCAAACAAAATTCTCGATCAATCAAAAAATTCGTTTGGACTATTCCAAAGAAGTATTTATTTGATTCCACCAAATCGTTCTCTCTGTATGTATGTACATATTATTTACGTATAATTTAATATATTTCCCTGGATTGTACAGATTAGAACTGTAGAAAACATGGACGAGGTATGTAAACAAATATGGAGGAGTGACGTATTCCGACTACATCCGTATGCGCAGAATTAGATTCCTTAGAGCCGCTTTTACCAAGCTTGAGTTAAACTAACCGTTTTAGCAACTTTAGAATTCCTGAACTGAAGCTGCTGTTGGAAATGGAAAGTGAAAAGAGTTACAAATGTGGATTTATAACGCTATAGTTAAACTTGAAAGTGCACGTTCTAACGTCCTAACTTGATAGAAAATTTGATTAGGACTTTTACGTCTAACTGTAGCATAACTAATCCACACTTATAACTTCTCACTCTCTCGTTTCGCATCTAAGAATTAAGCTGTCTTGTGCATAAGGAGTTAGCAGTCTAGTAATATGTAGAAGAGTCCGGCGCCGCTGTTTGCGCGTGCTACAACACGCACGTCCGACCATGCGTGCATGCGTGCGGTCAGGGGAAGTACCAACGCAGCAGCTCCTCTTTCTCTCGTCGCGATTTACAGGTTTTGGCAAGCTGGTAAAAAAGTCAGCCACGCTCGCGCGCGATTAGGCTGTCCGCAGGTAGAGAGTGAGAGGGGGGAGAGAGAGAGAAAGAGAGAGAGAGAGAGAGAGAGAGAGAATCACCACCTCGAACGAGTCTCGCGAGCTCGGCAACCGTGAACAATCCGGTCTCGCTCTTGATTAGATTTTTGCGTGTTCGTCGTGTTTGTCGATTTTTTTCTCGTGTTTGTCTTTTTTCTCTTTTTGTTTCGTTTTTTCGTTTCGTCGATGCCGCTGCCGTTTCAAGAGTCGGAGCTCCCGAGCTGCTGAAAGTGGCTCTTTGAAGACGGTGTTTCATGCTTCGTTTGCGATCCGATCACCTTGACCCGATTATCTCGTCTGATTTCTCCCAACCCGCTGGCCGAGATGGATCAACGGGGAATTTAACACGTTGTAAAATTAACGCGCGCCCATATCAAAGTGTATTCGCTTCGCACCCGGGTATAAAATATCGGGCTATTAAAGCGGCTGCGCTGCGGATATATATTAGAGAATTATATAAGCGTAATGCCAAACGAGCCACGTGGTGTATCGTACAGCTTGTGCGCGCCTTCTTATCGCTGTGTGAATTTGTTGTCTACGATTCGCGCTCGCAAGACGCGCATAGCATAGAGCTCTTCACAATTATCTTTCACCTCAATGTTCACCTCCATTTGCATCAGACGTACTCTGAACTCATAGCGCGAAATTATGCTTAAGTATGGCCTTTTGGTTCCTATGAATGAAACAACGTGGTACATGATGTTTTCTTTTTATAAAAACGATGGTTGGGATCAGATGGCCACATTTAACGTCAAATATACCCCTAAAATAAAGACCAAAGGTAGATATATCATATTTTTAAAAAAAGAGGTTTTCAATTTGTATGTATGTTTGTTTATATATTCCCTCATAACTCGAGAATCGTTAGAGATATCGAGATGAAATTTTTTATAACTTATTCAATATGTTATCTGCATGGTTAGGATTCGTTTGGGACTACAAACGGTTTCAGAGTGCGTAAAAAATATTGTGATTGATTCATGGCGCTACGAAGCGTCAAATGGATCCTGCCTTTAAATTAGTGTCATTATCCGAGTGACCTGGAAATAAAATAACTCCGTTACTTTCTCGAAAATCCGTGAACATCTGGAGATACAAAACGAAACTTTTATTTTTAATCGAATTTATATAAAACCAAACTTTTATTCAATAATTAAGAAATACGAAATATATAAGAAGCTTTTCAACAAAAATAAACCACCTTCGACGAAAGCCCTAAAAAGCGTAAAATAATTCTAACTTAATATTCCTATTCACCTGCAATACCTATTTTAATATTTTAATGATATCAGAAATCGGTGGGAAAAAAACAAATCAAGTGAATAACTAATTATATAATTAAGATAGATATATGATATAAAAAGGTATGATTGTGGAGTCAAGTTAGAGGTTTTCGCTTTTCATGTTATTAGAATATATCAAGATAGAATTGTAGAAATATAGGGATATTGAGTCAAGATTATTTCATTCTTTTTAAAGCTCTTATTTCTTTTATTTTTATTTTATTTCATTTGCCAGAAAAGAAATATGTTATCACAGGAGGAATTGTGATTTCTTGCTGAAGATGGTCACAAAAATCATGTCTCTTTGATCCTTCTTAATTTGATATCGATCCACAGAAAGCATTCAGCTACTTGAGCAACTCTTTTTAGACGTCCCAATGACGCAGATAGATTCCTTCTCAATCTCGTCGCGCGAATTTTTGCTACTCAAGTCTCCAGTCTCTTTTGTGACCGAAAAGTCCCCTTTACTTTTTTCCTCTGTCTTTTCAAAAACAAGACAGACACACGACTCGGCAAAACGTGACTTCAATTTCCACGCGACGATACGCGATCGTGCACAAATCTGGCGGCGTACGTGCAGCTCGTTCCGACGCCCGAAAGCCCCTGAAATTGTCGGATGCTCCTTTAACGGATCCTCAGGCGTGCGGTCCCCCCCCTCTCTCTCTCTCTCCCTCTTTCTCTCTCCCTCGTGAGGAAGATG